ATATGGTGAATGACTTCACAGGATTTAGAGCCTATCTAGGAAATCATGCAATTGTGGATATTGCAAAAAAGATGGGGGCGGGTAAAGGGTTAAGATATGGATCTTGGAGAAATTCAAGAACTGATAGACATCACACCAGAGGAATTAAAAGATGACGACTTGATGGAGATGAGTGCTTGTGAGTAGTGCCAGGTGATGAGGAAGAAGTTGTGCAAGAAGCAGTGCCAAAAAACAAACTGACATTAACGAGTCTGGCAAAAAGGTTCCAATTATTCAAGACTGCTTTTGACTTCTTTTACGACACGGAGCTATGATACAGGCAATGAAACTAAAGCCAAGGGCACAGGAAGGATTTGTACAGCACAAAAACATATTTAGAGAAATGAAAAAGCCAAACTGTACACAGAAATTATGTATTTCCATAAGATTACACTGAGTGTGCCTGCCTCTCCTACCTCCTCCTTCTCTCCCACCTCTGAGACAGGAAGACCAAGCCCTCCTCTTCCTCCTCAGCCTACTCAACACAAAGATGTCAAGGATGAAGATCTTTATAATGATCCACTTCCACTTACTGAACAGAAAATAATCATCATGCCATACAGTTAATAAAGTTATCTATTGTGTATGTGTGTCTTCATGTGCAAATCTAATAACTATATGGCAAGAAATGTACGAGATGTTTCTGTATCATCAGCACCATCATCGTTGCCTAAGTATTCATGTGCAAGACATGTATGGAAGTGGATAGCCTATCCTTGCATAGGCATAAGGTGAGTGATATTTAATATAAATCAATAATGTGTTAGTTTTGTTTTTTTTTTTACTGTTTTGTAACTTTGCTTTCAAAGAACCACCATTACCTTACCCTATGTGCCTCTCTGCCCTTCTCTCTCTCCCTCAACCTCATTTGGAGAAACTGTGTATCATTTAAAATGTAACAATGTTTCCAATACTGTATTATGAATATGACTGTGATACTACATGCCATAAACATTTTACAAGGATTCATTCACTAGTGTATAGGCTAGGCTACTATGAAGCAATCGTATAGATTGCACTAGGCTACCATAAAGCAATCATATCGCTGTTTCTTCATTATTGATGCATGAAGTGTTACACCTATAAATAAATATGAATTTATTTTTCACATTATCTTTTCATTTTTGATGTCGTGTTAGTAATACATATAACATTTACAGTGTTTTATATCATATAAGACAATACTGTTGTAGATACTGACAGACTACTTGCCTTGTTAAGCAGACAATATAAACTTACGGTATCAATAAATGGAGTATACAGTAATGTAAATGTATTTTCTCTTCCTTATAATTTTCTTAATAACATTTTCTTTCCTTCAGCTTACTTTATTGTACAAATACAGTATATAATACATATAACATACAACATGTGTTGACTGTTATCAGTAAGGCTTCAGATCAACAGTAGGCCACTAGTTAAGTTTGGGAGGAGTCAAAAGTTATACATGGATTTTCGACTGTGTGTAGAAGGGTAGAAGCACCTCTAACTCGCACTTGTTCAAGTGTGATGATGTGAGACTGAATGACTTTTTCAAAGACTACAAAGGAGAAACATGCTCATTATCTATCAGATCATTATTTCAAACTTAGCTCTCAAGAAATCAAACCACTATCTCTCAATAACTATTTAATGTTTGCTTATAAGAAGCTAACCTGCCCACTTTAATTATGCCCTTTTCCTAAACCAAAGCCATGGAGAAAATCCCTTACCCCTCCACTATCCTCACCACTAGATAGTCACAGGAAGGCCCAATCTCTTGCTCTGCTAAAAACTTGAGCTTCCTGCACCCAGCACTGCCCTAGATGGCTTGGGACTGAGAAACCTTTCCTTATACAATTAGAGCTGCAGTTTATATATACCTCTGGAACTAAAAGCATTTTCCACCAGTAGTCAGCTTCTACGCATGCAAACAAAATATGATGGCCACTTTAACAACTTCCAAGACCAGTGCAGTATAGTATAGAGCATAAACTCCGGAGCCATTCTGTCTGAGTTCAAATTTTGGTTCCACCTTTACCAACTGTGTGATCCTAGGTAATTACTTTATCTCTCTGTGCCTCAGTTTTCTCATTTCAAAGTGAAAATAACATTCATACGGCGGCTGTGAGACCTGAAATAATGCCTAGCACAAAATAATTGTTAAATAAATATTAGCAGAATTATTTGCAGTGTCCAGCCAAACTTCATGTAGAAAAACAAAACACTGCCCTCACCAGGTGGCTCTCTCTTTCTTCCTTTCCTTCTCTCTAAAATCAATAAATAAACATATCCTCAGATGAGGATTAAAAAAAAAAAACCCTCATGCAAAATAGCTGCCTAGCTGGCAGAGCAATCATATTTGTCTATATTGTAGAGATGTCATGATGTCACATGGAGTAATTTATCACTAATGCCAAAGTTTAAAATGATTAAATCTTGACACTTGTCAAGTCCTACTGTAAAAAGCCAGACTAAAGATTATTCAGAATATAAAACACTGCATTTGTTTAGTTTTAAGTGTATGTTTAGGGAGCGAGCACAACCTGACTTTTTCATTCTTATAGAAGCTTGGATAAAGGTTCAAGACTCCATTCAATATGGTAGCCACTAGCCACATATGGCTATTAAAATATTAAATAGTAAAATTAAATTACAAATTCAGTTCCTTATTTGTGGTAGCCACATTTGAAGAACTCAGCTCCCATATGGCAGCTATCAGACCTTTCTACCACCACAGAAAGTTCTGGACAACACTGGAGTAGGTATAGCCCTGCAGCAGCAGCATCTTCTCTACTGGCCTCCATTCACCGTCCTGCCTCTGAGTAAAGTAGTGGCAGAAAGAACATGTGGATGCTGTACTCCTCCAGAGGAGATAAAGCTGGAGACCAAAGCTGTTTCAATAGAACTTTCAATGGACTAATTATTTTCAGCTCCAATTCTCATCTCCTCATTAGAGAACCACAATGTTCTAGAGCTATTTATCCAAGTATTTCTAAGCATAAAGGGATAATCAATTTTTACTTAGTCCACAGTTTTATTTAATTTCCTCTCCTTTCCCCCAGTTCAGTCTATTCTGTTTATAAAACAAAAGTGCTAATAAGGTCTGTTTACCAATGGAGAGTAAGAACTGGGACTGACTACTAAATAGTTATATGGGAAACATGTGTCCATGTTTCTCCCCAGGCCTTACCAACTATAGTCCAGAAGACAGAACAGAATAAGTAAGCGAGCTGTTCCAATTTGACTGAAGAACTCTGAAAACCTAAAGGGTCACTCACTTCCTTTTTTAAAATATTATTCAAAGGGGTATTGGGCATATAGGATCTGATTTATACAAATTATAATTCCACAGTTATGAGATTACCACAAACTGCTATAAAAATAGGATTATATAACCCACTTGCCAAATCTGGGTCAAGGGAGTTGGGATGACTTTGAAGGGCAGGGGGAATGAGATCTGAGACTACCTGGTTCAAAATATTACCTCAGAGATGCCTCAAGCTTAAGTTAGTTCATCATTTCATAATATTTCCAGTGCAGCATCTTGCTAGAAAGATTTAAAGTATTAAATATTCTAAATTCTGTGTGGTCTTTAAACTAATTTCATTCTGAAGTTTTAAAAGTGCTGACATGTTAGCAGTACCTTACCTCAAAGATTATTTTTTCAAAAGTCAGTCTTATTTGAAGTACTAGAAGGCTCCCAAAGGATTTCTAACTAATATCTATTATTTGCAAAACACAAACATTTTGAGGTTGGGTTTACTTATCATGAAAAGACCCAGCAATGGTTGCCAGATTTAGCAAATAAAAATATAGGATGGTCTTTCTGAATTATTTCTTACAACTGCATATAAATCGGCAACTACCTCAAAATAAACTTTTAATTAAAGAAAAAACATAGGACACCCATTTAAATTTGAATTTCAGATAAACAAGAAAATTAAGTATAAGTATATCCCATGTATATTTGTGACATCTAAACAATTCAGATTTAATTAGGTGTCCTGTATTTTATCTCTATACCCCAAAATGTTAGCCTTCATGGAAATCTGAATAGGCAAAGAGTGGAAGTGACAAAATCTGAAATCACAATCAACATGGACAGTATAAAATAGGCACTAGACAGCGACGTGAGCCTTTAAAAGAAGCGAAGACACGTCTCTTGGAGAGCAAACCTTAACCTTTCAATCCTATGCCAATGCAAGAAGATCTTGTTGGAGAAATTTTTTCTGCATAAATTGTGCTCAATTCCAGCTCCATGCTGTTAATTTTTATCCTGTTGACGCAAATTTCAAATAGTGCCACAAACTTGTGCCTCTCCACCCATCCCGTTCTGGCTTGTTCTCGGGGTAGGGGACTTTAGAAATTCTTCCTGATTCAATTCCTACAGAGGAACTAGGGTTGGGCCCTCTCTCTTCCAGCTATGGCAGCCACCTAACCCCTAGCCCAACCATTAGTAGTTAGATCAGTATCTTGGTTTAGTTTGTAAGCATACATACAAGCCAAAATCCTGGCTACAGGCTCTTCAAAAAAACTAACAGAAGCAATTCAAGATATCTAGCTGAGGTTTAACCAAAAAGTACAGAAATACCTTGGAGATATTGTGGGTTCCATTCTAGACCACCACAAATAAAGTGAATATTCCAATAAAGCGAGTCACACAAATTTTTTGGTTTCCCAATGCATTTAAAAGTTAAGTTTACACCCAGCCAGTGTAGCTCAGTGGATTGAGCATTATCCCATGGACTGAAAGATCCCAGTTCAATTCCTGGTCAGGACACGTGTCTAGAATTCAGGTTCAATCTCAGTAGAGGGCCTGCAGGAGGCAGCCAATTGATGTATCTCTCTCTCCCTTCCTCTCACTCTAAAAACTGAATGAAAACATATTTTTAAATATATAAAAAATAAGAAAAATTAAGTTTATACTATACTGTAGTCTATAAAGTATGCAATACATTATATCTAAGAAATGTACATACCTTTACTAAAAAATATTGCATTGCTAAAAAATTCTATCATCTGAGCCTCAGCAAGTTGTAATCTTTTTGCTACTGGAGGGTCTCAATGTTGAAAACACATCTGCAAAGCGCAATAAAGCGAAGAATTTCAATAAAACAAGGTATGCCTATAAACTTGTTTGGGCAAAGTCACACGAAAACTAATTAACCCAAACCTATGTAAATAACTTTGCCATTCCACAACTCAAATAAATGTAATTTCATATTCATAAAAATATTTGACACAGATATCAAAAGATTAATGCTATAAAAATAGATCACTAAATGGAGTCAAGAAATATATACATTTATACAACCACAACAAATTCTTCAATAGTTCTGTAACAGGAAGCTATAAACCAGAGGAATCAAACCCAAATGCTCTCAAGTGCCAAGTAAGTAATGTAAATTAGTTAAGTAAGCCAGCATCCTGGGAACAATGATAACTATGGAGAGTGCCTGCCACCCAAAAGAGATTTAAATGATTTTGTTACTGAGCTCCATTCACTTGACTTGTGGTACCCCACTTCACATTTCAGCCCTTCTCATATCTACATGCTTCCAGTAGAGTTAGGCATGAACCATATGTACATAACGTTTCACTCCCACTCAGCTCACCTAGTGCCACTGATTCAAGGATGAATCCAATTAGAGTTAATGGGATACAATTAGAATTCTGATGAAAATACTGGGGCTGGACTTTCACACTACTTCACACTGGGTCTGAACCTTAAAGGTGTAGCTCGGACATACCAGCAACTGTCTTATGCCCACAACAAGAAAACCTATCTAATGGAGTCAACAAGAGGAAGCAAAGCTAGTCAGATGTTGATGGCATGCCCAAGGCCAACTCTACCTTGAAGTTTTTGACTATGTGAAAAAACTTATTCAGTTGTACCATTATCTAATTATGCCAACAAATTTATATTTTTATTAAGCCAGTTTGGATTCAGTTTTCTACTATTCCAACCAAATCAGTCCTGATAAGGCATTCAAAGTCACTTTTTAAAAATAACACACACAAATACAGTGTTGAGTTTGGCTGACAGGCTCTGCCAGTATGCAAAGTATATGCAAATATAAACTATTTGATTTTATTTAAAATTATTTCATAACATTTTCCTTATAAAAATATAGTCTACCTTAAGATTTAAAAAACACTACTCTTCAAAACTACATTTGGCAAAAGGCCAAGAAGCAACAGGGACCTTGGTTGTCATTTACAATATAATATATATTACTTTTTTTCACAGTATAGCAGACTCTAATGACTTGGCCTCTTTAAAAAGAAGTAAGTCCTAAGCATATACATACAACACAAACAAATTAAAATACATTCCCTGTCACAGAGTACAGTGCTAAACTGATTATCCTTATCTCTTCACCCCCCACTCGACATACACATGCTTACACAAGCAGAACATCTAAGGCTGTATGAACAGCAAAAAGATCTTTGGGATCAGACAGACTTGAGTTTGAATCATGTTTCCATCATTAGTATGTTTTTAGACTAATTAAATAATCTTTCAAGGATTTACTCTTCTCATTTCTAAAAAAATGATAATAACATCTGCCTGAGGGAACTGAGAAATAAGTAACACATGTAAACCTAGCAAAGTACCTAGCATAGTTGATAAGTAATAGCTGTTGTTTCAAATGCCATGCATAGCTGCAATTAAGTGACAGTTGTCATAAGTCAACACACAAAAAAGGTAAATGGCAATCAAAACATACAAGACTAGAAGTCTTGGAAAACAGTCTGGTTCTACCATGTACTATGTGCAAACAAATAAATTTTGTTGCATGAAGCATTTTAATAATCAAATTTAGCATTCAAAAACAGCAAACTGACTTATACAATTACAGTAATAAATAAAAATCACAATAAAAAAAGAACAGGGAACTAACCATACCTTATTGAAAGTTTACATCAAATGAAGTCCAACTATAATTAGATTAAGGTAAAGGTACTTTTACATCTTGAGACAATAATCCACCTGGAAGTAAGTTCTTAAAAAGACATAATTTTAATTAAAGTTATTTACCAAGTACTTCTATAAAAGTCCAGAGAGAGAACACCACATATGCTCATTAGAGATTATCTGAAACATAACTATTGCTAATGGCAAGATTATCTATAACAAGATAAAACAATTAAAAATACATTAGCTCATATGTGCTTAAAAGGTGTTAATATAAAAATGAAACTTAAAACAAATAATATTTCAGCTTAGAAAGCAATGAAAATAGATTTAAGCCCAATATAAGCTCCTTACCCCTAAATAAATTCCTCTATCTAGGAATCCCACTTAAGCTCAATGTACTTCCTGTTACAAATGTGATGTTCAAGATATACTGTCAACTCTCAAAAAATGAGAGACTTACTCTCAAACAACAAGTATGCACATGCTACCATAACATACCAATAATGAAGACTCATGGGCAGAGAAATATGTATTTCAAAACAAAATCCTTTGGAAAACAGCCTGCATTTCTGTACTGGGTACTAAAGCTCTCTTTCAGACCTTTCACATCTAATCACCACTAGCCAAGAAGGGTTATTATTAATCTTCCTTTTACAAATGGGATGCACCCCAGTTCTTGAAATCTATGTACAATAAAAAGAGGTAAGAGGGAATAAAAGACAAGTTAATCCATGATTGGCAAATATTCTAAATCCAGGCTTGTCCAATACAGTAGCTGATAGTTACCTGTGACTATTACACACTTACAAAGTGGCCAATGGCTACTATACTGAAATATGTTAAGTGTAAAACATACACCACATTTCAAAGATACTGTACAAAAAAAGATGGTAAAATAGCTCATTAATAATTTTATATTGTTTACATCTTAACATAAAACATCTAAATATTTGAGTTAATATATTAAAGTTAATTTCACATTTCTTTTTAACTTTCAATGTGACTACTAAACAAACATTTATAATACAGATTATAACTGAAAATAGATCAGGAAACATTATGTTCTTTCTAATGTACTTAGTGCTTTTATCATGCAGCCAAAAACCGATACATTTTTATTAAAACAGCAACCATTAAAACAAACCCATTCCAAGAGGTGATGAGTAGGCCAGCCTTAAAGTCATCCTAATTCCTAGTATTTCATTTGCCAGCTAGGTGTAAAAGGCCCCATGTACTTCCAGCTAATGACAATTGGGCTTCTAGGATAGTATTGCTGCTGCTTGTGATAGCCAAGCCCTTGAATCCCCAGGTGCAACAGCTAAAAAAGTACAACTTCCTTGTAAACTTCCATTATTAAAACACTAAGACATGGACAAACATCACATTTTTATCATCAAATATTTAATAGTGAAGACAGTATCATTTTATTAGAGGGTTAAAAAAATAAGTTGTAAAAACTTCTCATCCATATTTGAAAATACATATTACTAGATTTGAAAGGCAAACTGCATCCAGACTGTTTTCCCCAGAACCAACCATTTGTCAATTGGTTACCCAAGTCTCTAACCACCACAACTCAAGTTATAGACTAACCTGTTACTTCTAAAATCCCAACTCCTCCTTTCAATACCCTACAGAGATTTCCTATTGCCCTTACACATCAGGGTCCTATCTTTAGTTCTGAGAGGTCTGATGCCACTTCAGGCCTAATATCTAGGTTTTTTTTCTTTTCTGTCTACTCCTTCCATTGTGCTTGAGCAAACCTACTTATCTGGTGCTCCATTAACCCACCACTTCTCCAAGTCATCTCTTTTGTTATATTTCCACTTCTTATTCACCTACACATTCATAGCGAGGAGGAGGACTTCCAGGACTCAAGACAAAACAATTTTTATCTTATTATCCCCAGCAATTTAAGAAGCTCTTTAAATTTTACTTTCAATACCCAAGCTCTCAACTTTCTGGAGATTATAGTTCTCTCCCACCTATCTTTCCTGAGTAAGTGACATATTTTATCTTGTTTCTTCACACTAATTTACATTAAATGTAATAATTCATTTATAAAACTCTAGAGCTTGGAAGGAACTTCTTGGTCCCCTAAACCTCCTGAAATATCACGCCTAAGTATTTTTCTGAACAGTTGATTCAAGTTTTCAATAGGCTTTTTAAACAGTCCAAGGAGTGCAACCCCTCTAATGTCATTTTTTATTTCTGCCTCTAAGACCTTGTGTGAATTCATTCATATCCTTTATCCAATCATTATGAATCTTGATATATCATTGATACGAATTAATACTTTATGAATAATACATATCCTTTGTAACGCTGATGCAAACATTTCTTCTGTGTTTAAAAGTTCTGTTCCTTTCATAGCACTTACTTTACATATTGGAATTTCAATCATCTCTATAATTTTGCTTATGGATTCAAAATTAAGGTTAATCTTCAAGATCTAATCATGACCACCACACTGCACAATTCCAAGAGGTGCCAATCACACAAAATTCTGTGTTCAACACAACAGAGTACAGCATGACACCCCCTGGAGTTGTATGAAGTGGATGTTCAGGATCAACCAACAATACATATCCCACTTTTTCAAAGTTTGCCAACAGTTTGACTTTTTACTCTCTATATATAGTTGTTACTCCTCACCCAGGGATATTTTTCCACTGATTTTTAGACAGATTGAGAGGAAGGGAGGGAAGCGGAGAGGGAGGGGGGTAGAGAGAGAGAGACACATCAATTGGTTGCCTCCTACACAACCCCAACCAGGGCTAGGGATCAAACCTGAAAACAAGTTATATGCCCTTGACCTGGAACCAAACCCACAACCCTTCAGTCTGCAGGGTGATGCTCTAACCAACTAAGCAAAACTAGCCCAGTTTATAATATTTTCATTCATCTGGAATTTATAAACTTTGTAAAAACTGCGATTAACAATTTTTTAAATCACAATTCATTTATACCAATATCACTTAATAAGTCATCTTAGCTCGTTTGGAAAGTTACTTTAACAGATTAATATTTTTAATTAATTAATTTATTTTTGTTACAGATGTTTCTCCTTTTTACCCCACTTCTATTCAACAAAACTTTAAAAAATATGTACGTATCTTCTATGTGCTAGAAACTGGGCTAAATGCTGATAATGAAGAAGGCAAAAGATGGTTACTCAACACAAGAGTCTTAGTCTTATTATAAAAATAACCAATTACCATACTGTGTAACATTTTTTATTTTTTCCCACTCATCATTACTATTTGTGGACTAGAACTATTTTTTTTAATCTTTGTAGTAGAATTGGTTCTAATACCTTTTCAAAATGTTCTTTCATTAGCATGTCTATGTTTCCATGTAACTGCTATTCAACATTAGGTGCAACATATACCATGTAATATGTAATCCACTAAAAGCAGATGAAAAAGGATTATTGTCCACACCTCTGAGAGAGGAGTTAAATAACATGCTCAAAATCTCAGTTCTTTGTGGAGCGGAGCTTAAATTTGTATTTGTCCAACTTCAAAGCCCTTTATCTGAGTGCGGGGCCTTCCTGGATATACAGAAAGAACAATGTTTTTGGTGGGGGGAAGTTTTTGCTCTGATTCTGCCTTCACAATATTTATACCTTTTCTTTTTCAAACTTTGTATTATAGTCATCGTTGTTACATAACTACAATGGGGGCATCCCTGAGTTTTCTTTGCCCCCTCTATTCACAAGTATTTTCAATAAACACAATATTGGCTTTTTGTTCAAGGAAAGCCTATTTTATTATTTTAAGGAAGAATTCTCATCTACGTCAATGTCTAAATTGGGAGTCAGTCTAAATATACCAAACGATGCTCAACATCACAAGTGATTAAGGAAATGCAATCAGAACCACAATGAGATGTCACTTTACACCCACTAGGATGGCTGTAATTTTTCAAAACAATTTTTACTGATTTTTTTGAAAGAGAGGAAGGAAGAGAGAGATAGATAGAAACATCAATGTGAGAAAAAAACATCTATGAATTGCCTCCTGCATGCCCCTACTGGGGAAGGAGCCTGCAACTCGGGCATGTGCCCTGACCAGGAATCAAACTCTGTCCATGGGACGATGCTCAAATCCACTGAGCCACACGAACCAGGCTAACTTTTTTTTTGGCAAGCATGTGGAGAAATTGGTACCCTCCCATGTTGTTGGTGGGAATATAGTCTTTGTGAAAAACAGTTTCGGGGGTTCTCCAAAACTTAAGAGAACTACCATATGACACAGCAATTCCACTCCTAGGAGTATATCTCCAAGATATAAAAACAGGTGTGCGAACAAGTGTCTGTACACAAATGTGCAGAATGGCACTATTCATAGTAGCCAAAAGGTGAAAACAACCCAAAAGTCCATAACTAATGAATGGATAAAATACACCAAATACTTTTATTTCATACTGTATATTTCTTGAAATGTTCAATACTTTTTCTTCTTTGCCCTATTATTGCAGTCAGAGGACTGGGAACTGCCATTCTTCACAGTCCTGTAACAAACTTCCTTTGTTGAGGGGTATTATTCTGTTTTACTAAATGACTTCTACTTGTTTTCACAATTTTAATATTCTGGTTTATCGATGATATTAGGCAATTGTCATTTTGGTAGTAATGGTTATCATGCTTGGGGATTTAGAAGATATTTGCTTCAAAACATGTTTAAGGTAGTTGTCCATCTTTTCCTATGTTCTAGAATAAAAAATAACATGGGAAATTTAAAACACCTTATCTGTAAATCTATAAAAAGTATTTAACAGCCCTGGATGGTTTGGCTCTGCAGTTAGAGCGTCAGCCCATGGACCAGAGTCCTGGGTTCGGTTCCCGCTAAGGGCACGTACCTCAGTTGTAGTTTGTCCCCAGCCTTGGTTGGAGTCATGTGGGAGGCATCCACTCGATGTGTGTCTCTCTCACATCGATGTTTCTCTCTCTCTCTTCCTCCCTCTCTCCCTCCCACTCTATCTAAAGATAAATGCAAAAGGGTCCTCGGGTGAGGATTAAAAAAAAAGAAGTATTTAACAAAAAAAGTATAAATTTTATAAATCTAATTTATATTTTCAAATGAATCATCCTGTTGATTATCTGAAGAGACAGCTATTAGTTTCTGTTTATGTGTTTTTCTTGTTTTTATAAATAAAAACATGTATTAGTGAGACTTAGGGATCTCTCTGGTGCTTTTAGCTCACAGCATCATCCTCCAAAGTTGTAGTTCTGATTTACTTCTATTTTTAAATGTTTGCACTAAAATTTTATGCCCCCATTAACTACACACACGTGTGCACACAGCCTTAATGTTTAGTAGACTCCTCCCACACACTTTTACCAATACTTTTCTATTATGACAGACAATCAAAGTAGGGAATGCTTAAGATATAGCAAGCCATTACAATCAAAAAAACATAATCTTAACTGTTTCTCGAGCTTCACAAAGCACAAATGGGATTTCATTATCTCCCCTGCCCCTTCCCCACTCTCTCCATCCCAACTAAGACCTATTGAGAACTATTTCTCAAAAAATGATTGAAAGGCTAATAGTACCTGAATCCTAAGAGACACGCTTCTTAAAATGCACTCTCAGGCCACCCATAGACTAACTTAAATCAGAATCTCTGCTTTGGATAATTGTTAATTACAAGAATATCTTGATACCAAGCCCAACCAATACTGCCCACATACAACATCAGGGTAAGGTGACCCTATAATTTATCATACAAACTGGGGCATTTCGAAAAGTGAAAGAAAATGCTATTCTTTTTTTTATCCTCACCCGAGGACATTTTTTCATTTTTTTGTTCAGATAGAGTAGGAGGGAGAGAGAGAAACATCGACATGAAAGGTACACATCGAGTGGCTGCCAC